TAGTTCAGCAGCTTGCCTAGTGGGATGACATAGCAGAAAGGGTAATTAGTTGTAGCACAAATTGTTACTTTTACTGAGTGCCGAATCGAAAGATTCGTTTCCCAGGTCGATCTCACGAGGAAGGTGGTTCGGAATTCAGCTTTGGTATTGATAGCACAAAAAACAAAATAAATCCTAAACACTCTAATCAGATATGGTGGGAATGAATAAGTACCAACTAAGAAATAATAAAAAGCATCAATCTACCTAAAAAGATAAATAAACGATGAAAAAGAAGCTAGGGAGTCGGGAATAAATAATTCAAGTTCCTTAGCAAAATTGGGACATTGATCGTTCGATTCTAGATTGACAATAATCATCTAGCGGTTCACTCCCAATAACTCTTCGTAACAAAGAATTGAACATAGACGAACAAACTCAAGCATACAACACAAGCCAATTACCCCAATCCCAATTACTTTTCGTAACAAGGGACGGGTCATCAACAAGCACGTATTTCAATCCAAAACATATAGATTATTCAGTTACAAAATCATCTACCTCATCTGAGCCTAGGTTCTACGACTTCTCCCCTTTCGGTTCTGAAAGTCGCTAATTCAATTAGAAGGTGTTTAATCAACTAATCGCATAGAATCAACAAAATCATAACTCGACTAATCAACATTCAATCGTTACCAATTGCAAGATCGAAGTGTCACTCTTCGATTATATCAATTAATCAAGCAAGAATACATCAGTTCCCTAATCAAATCAACTCACATAAGAACGAACAATTCAAGTCCGACAAATGCACGTTAAACAAGAACAATCATCCATTATCCCTAGCAATAGAAATTAGCTAAGCAACATGAATTCAACACAATTGATCATCTCTCTCAATTCAATCATTCGCATGAATTAGAAATAAAGAGAAGACTTACAATTAATCGCAAGTCCAATGTTGAATCCAACAATACAAAGCTTAATCCCTAAATAATAGTAAAGAGAAGAAGAAAATTAGAGAAGATTAAAAGAAGAGAAAAAATGATGGAGAAGAACAAGGAAGAAGAAAGAGAAGAGAGGAGTTGTCGTGTTTTCTTGGGACCTAGGCTTTTCACCCGGTCGAGAGACGTTTCAGGGTTGGGAACGAGTCCCCATATATAAGGATCGAAAAACAGAGCAAAAAACGGGCAAAAAAAAAGTCAAGACGCGTAGGTGCCGCGGTGCGAGGGCTTCCGTGCCGCGGCGGGTGCCCTGGGCGTGGTCTCTGTCTAGGTCACGGCACTAGGCGCGGCACTGGGCACGCCGCGGCACCTGGGTACAGGTTGCTATGCGTGACTTTACGATTTTGGCTCGTTTGAGCTCGTCCGAACTCGGAATTGAGTTACGTTTTTTCCTATGCATCGCTAACGAACCCCTCTATTCAATGATGCTTTCATGGCCAAACTATTCTTAAAATCAAATTCTCCCAAAGCTTATGACCAGCACACCAAAGACGTGCTTTGCGCGACTTCGCGCTTTGGGCCCGTTCGGACTCGTCAGAGCTCGAAATTGAACTCCGCTTCTTTCTATATGTCGCCAACGAACCCGTCTAAACAACCATGCTTGTCAGTTCAACTTTTGGGCTGAATATATTCCTCATGGGGCTTCCGACCTGCACACTAAAAACAGGAAGAAAAACGTAGAAAACCGACAAAATACACGAAAACACATAGAAGACCAAAATAGAGAAAAACACACATAAACTATAAAAACGAATAAAACTAACGAAAAGACCTAAAACGAAGGAAAAAGAAAGACAAAACAATAAGGAAAAATACAACAAATATGGGACAAGCAGCGGTGCAACAAGCTTATCTACGCCAGGCACTTCAGGCGGTTAAAGGGACAAAGCACAAGAACTCGGGGACTGCCCCTTCGGTATCCCGTAGTTCGAAAAAGGGGGAGAAGTCTAAGGCTAAAGGTAAAGGCAAGGATGGAGCTGAGGACTCTGGGGGAGATTCAACCGATGATGCTATTGATAACTATGGTGAAGAATGATCACTTTCTTTTGAGTGTTTTATGGAGGGCTGTAGTGAGGTCTTTTGTATTAAGAACCTCTTATTAGTTTTTGTGATGTGTTTCTATTGGCTGAAACTATTTGCTTGTGTTATTTGTCTTCTTTTGATGATTAGGTTGTGGTTTGAACTTTGTGATGTGTTTTTAATGAATGGTATTTGGGTTATGTGCTTTGATGTTGATATGGCTGATTGCAGAAACTTTGGGAGAGAACTGTGTCTGAACACAGTCATCATTTTGTGTTGATTGAACTAATCCCTTTGCATAGTGCTGATGTATTGTGCTTGTTGTTTTTATTTTTCAGGTAATCTTCAAATATGTTGATATTCGAACTAGATGTAAAAAAGGGAGATTGAAAGATATTTTGTTTGGCATAAATTTAAAATTAAGCATAGTTGAAGACATGTTCGTAAAAGCACTTGGAACCACAAAAAAAAAAAAAAGAAGATCTTTGTGTTATAATTGTTTCCTTACTTAGATTATTTTATATACATATATAAGATTGCATGGATCTTATTATGGTATTTACTTGTAGGAAGTCGGATTGCATGGGAGATTAGGAGCAGGCACGTGATGCATGGAAAAGAGATCAAGGGCAATTCACTTTCCATGTTTACACAATATTTATGGGAAGAAGATCAAGGGAGATCAAGAAGGAAGGAAAGAACCTGGAGAAGACTCCATGCCTAAGGAGTTGTATAAATACCCTACTTGAAGGTCGAATCAAGGCTGCTGACACTATCGCATATCAAGCAATATTCGAGCTTCAAGATATTAGTTCTTTTACTTTTTATTCAAAGTTCAGTTCAAGGGTTCTTACGGATCTTAGAACTGAAGTTGTTTTGTTGTTTTGTTCTTTGTTTTATTCAGACATATTCGTGTTTTACACTTAGGGATTAAGTGTTGGTTAGAAAGTCCACGGGACGTGGCCGGAGAAGTAATTGATAAGATCGTGTGTAGTTGTGGCTAGACTAGAAGGGAGTTCGAGTCGTGTAAGTCTAAACTATACAATGTTTAACGGTTTATCAATGAAAGAGCACTGAGGGGAAGTGAGATGCTTCCCTGAAGAGTTGTTTAAATCTTCGATTTATTGCTTCCGCTATTTACGTTCTTAATTTGGGTTCTTACATCGTGAGTGCACTCGTTCGATATATTTATACGTTTTAAATATGTTGCGCATAGTTTACGTTAAATATTGAATATATTTAATATAGTTTGTGCATAATTAGAAGCTCCAAAATTAATACCAAAATGCCAATAATATTCAAAGAAAAATGCTACAAGTATATAATAAATGTACATAGAAGTGTACATAACACTCACATGGAGTGGGGTCCACTTGATTTTTTATTTGAGTAATGATATAAGTACATAATAGTGCACATAGAGGTGCACATAACACTCATATTAAGTGGATCCTACAAAAAAATAAAAAATCAAATGGACCTCACTCCATGTGAGTGTTATGTACACCTCTATGTACATTTATTATGTACTTGTAGCATTTTTCTTTTTATTTTTGGTGGATCCCAATTAATGTGAGTGTTATGTACAACCCTATGTGCAATATTATGTACTTTTAACATTACTCATATCCTCCCTATATATTATTCCAGAATGCGCTGAGCCTACATGGCTGCTTCTGGTGTTTCGGAATCCTACTTGGCAAAGAATCATGCTTTGTAATTAGGTTTGGACAAATAATATTGATATATTAATAATTAATAATCTAGGTTCGGACATTCCATAAATATTAAATAACTAACTTAGATACTTTAATATCATTTGTACTAATATAACCCTTTAATTCTTTGTAATTTTACATAGTGAGACATTAAATGACTAATATATCTCTGACTTTTGATTTATTTCCTTCAATTAGTTATTTAATTGTAAATGTATTTTAAAAGTTGATAAGTTTTGTGTTTCTTACCGGTTTTACATATATAATATATCAAATTAATCATCTTTTGATGATCTTCGATTTGACATCCATATTGTATATATGAAATAAATAAAATATATTTATCCTTATAATAATAAAAATTAATAATATTTATTAAAATTCATTAGAAAAATAAAATTATTTCGCAATTGATGTTAAAAAATTATTATAATACAACACAAGTAAGTCGCACAAATAAAAAAGTGTCATACTAAACATATAATAATATATATATTTTTATAAAAGGTATTTAAATTTTTAATTATTTTTTTCACTAATTTTAGATTTTAAGAAAAAATTAGCAAACACCGTGTAATACACGGACGTTGTACTAGTTCAAATATAAATCCTTAATTCATGATGCTTCCCAGTCATTTGCTCTATACCTATATTTTTCTAGTATAACAATATCATTAGCTTAATTGTACGACCTCTATTTCCCCCTATTCGTTTATATTTAAAATATACTTCTTATCGAGTATCCAAAAATCTGCACTAGTTGGACAAAGGACCCTTGACAAGATAACATGATATTATTAATTATAACTTAGGGAAATTCTACGATTTCGTTACGGAACTATTTTGTCGGGATTTGTAACCGTTAGATCAACTATCTCCGACTGTTACATGATGATCTAGCGGTTACAAATCTCGACGGAATGGTTTTATAAGGGGATGTAGCATTTCCCTATAACTTAAACACACTCTTAACAAAAAACAAAAAAGACTTTTAAAGGAAGACCAATAAGAGCCGTTGGATCACCGGCGGCTCTACAAATTTGATATCATTTTCAAAAACTCACATTTGATGGTATTTTAGTATGAGGTAGACGCGTTTTCTTTCCCCTTACCTCCTACTTTCCCAGTAACACCCTTATCCAAAAAATTCCACTTTAATTACTCATTTATTTATATACGCACTCTCATAAACATGAACACACACTTGTGTACATTTATCTTCATGCACATCAGTTCTCTTTTCATACACGCAGAGAGAGAGAGAGAGAGAGATAAAAGAATGGCAGACATGGGAGGTGCCGGCGGCCAGTATCCCGATTTTCCGGCGGTGGCCACACACGGAGGACAGTACATTCAGTACAACATTTTTGGTAACATGTTCGAGATAACCGCCAAGTATCGCCTTCCGATCATGCCTATCGGCCGTGGAGCTTACGGCATAGTATGGTAAAGACTATATGAATATTTCTATTTACTCTGTTTCTTTTAGCAGAGTTTTGATAAATTTAGCAGAGAGTTTTGAATCTGGTGTTGGTAAAGAAGTTATAACTTGTTGCCGATGCTTTCGAATTTGTGTTACGTTGTGACTTTTCGGTTTTATGTACATCAATGAAGCTCGGTTTTGAACACGGAGACGAAAGAGATGGTGGCAATCAAGAAGATTGCGAATGCCTTTGATAATTACATGGATGCCAAGAGGACCCTTAGGGAGATCAAGCTTCTTCGTCACTTGGATCACGAAAATGTACATATTCTCCGCCCAACTCACGACTAATGAAACTTATTTACGAGCCCTCAAAATATATGAAATATTCTAGTTCGATTTGATTTTTTTGGAGCAACTACTTTGTTCTGTGGCCTAATTCGATTCACGAAGTATAATGTGACGGTCTCGAAGAAACTTTGATACTTATGTTAACGAACCGTCAGTGAAAAAGGATAGTTTATTCCATGGCTTACTCTCATGAATTTAAAAATGATGTGTTAATGTAGGTGATTGCCATAAAAGATGTGATCCCTCCCCCTTTAAGAAGGGAATTCACAGATGTCTATATAGCAACAGAACTAATGGACACCGATCTCCACCAAATCATTCGTTCTAATCAGGGCTTATCCGAGGAGCATTGCCAGGTCAAAATTTGTATCTTTATATTGTTTTTACCATTTGATTTTCATTGTTATATAATTTCACTAAATTCGTGTCTGTTCTCAGTACTTCTTGTACCAGCTCCTTAGAGGACTGAAATACATACACTCGGCCGGCATTATACACCGTGACCTGAAACCCAGCAATCTGTTACTGAATGCTAATTGTGATCTCAAGATATGCGACTTTGGTCTTGCTCGGTTGAACTCCGAAAACGAGTTCATGACCGAGTATGTGGTGACGAGATGGTACAGGGCGCCTGAGCTGCTTCTGAATTCATCTGAATATAGTGCAGCCATTGACGTTTGGTCGGTCGGCTGCATATTCATGGAGCTCATCAACCGAAAGCCGTTGTTCCCTGGAAAGGATCATGTCCACCAAATGCACTTGTTGATCGAGGTATATTTTCCTCTGAAAAACGAGAATATATATTTCTATTTTGGGACAGTTACTGATGATTGATGATCTATGTTGTAGCTTTTGGGCACACCCACAGATGCTGACCTTGATTCCACACGAAATGAGGATGCGAAAAGGTACTTAAGACAACTCCCTCAATACCCTCGCCAGAATTTAGCAAAGATTTTCCCGCACGTGAATCCTATGGCCATTGATCTTGTTGATAAGATGCTCACAATAAACCCCACCAATCGAATTACAGGTGAGTTGTATGTATGTTGTTTACGGCAGATTTTCTGTTTTTTTTCTTGCTTGTGCTTAGTATTTTTTTTGTGGGTTGTTTCGTTTGCAGTCGAGGCAGCTTTAGAGCATCCTTACCTAGAGAGATTGCACGACCCGGCTGACGAGCCAGTGTGCATGGATTCATTCTCATTTGAGTTGGAGCACCAACTGCTGACAGAAGAACAAATGAAGGAGCTGATATACAAGGAGGCCTTGGAACTTAATCCGCATTATGCATGATTAACGAGAATTAAGGCCCATCATGTTTTTTTTTTTCGGCTATGTAATAAAAGACTGGAGCAGTCTTCGTGGGCTTTAGACGTTCTACTTATATTTACGTGATTTCAACTGGGATCGCAGATTCTATATGATCCTGTAGTGTCCGTGAACAAGTAGCTAGCTTGAAGTTCTACTCGAACGAGAATCCCACTTTTCTTTGTATAGTTCAATGTCATGTACTCGACAAGTTTTAGTAAAGGTTGTTATATGTCTTAAACAGGAGATGTTACTTGAAGAAAAAATGGAATGAGTATGAGTTTTGACGGTTGTTTGTTACTTGAAGAAAACTCGAGCTAGCTAGCAAAACCCAGTTTATGTGTTAACATATCATTACCATAAATTGCCCATATGCACTGATAACTTTAACTCTTTAAACTGATGATGGATCTTGCCATTTATACGTTCTGTCGTGTAGCCGTATAACAATCACACCTTACTGTCTAAGCCTTTCGAGTCTTCTAAATCCCCAGAACTTCAAGAGTCTTGAGTAAGCACTGAACTCCAATAATTTTCAAGCCTCTTTGAAACAAAGACACTGAGTGATAGGTAAGTGTACAATTACTTCTATTATTGTATTTTTTTATTACTGTATTTGTTATATATAATTCCCAGGGACCATCTTTTGAAAAAATGGTTCAATTATCTTAAAATGCTGACTTTGCAAGTTGGCAATGCAAATGAATAGTGGGGGTGTCATGAATAAATATAATGAGAATTGGTACACCAACTATGCTTTGCTTAAAAATCTCAACATCTCCATTGGCTTCTTATATATATATATTAAAAAAAAAAAAAAAAGGTTAAAATTCAGCAGCTAAAAGAAAAAGAGAGAAAAAGAAAGCATGGCAAGTTCAGTAGACGCCATGGATGAAGCAGCTGAGTTATCGGCTGGTACGAGGCGGGGCGGATGGATCACCTTTCCCTTCATCATAGGTTCCTTCCTTCTTTCTTCATTAGTCACCCTTTCATATATGTTTGTTCAATAAGTCACCTTTCCCTTCATCATGGTTGTTTTATTTCTGTATATATCTTTTTTTTTTAAAAAAAAAAAACCAGGGACGATGGCTTGCCTAACGCTTGCTTCCGGAGGATGGGTAGCAAACCTGATCGTGTATTTGATTCAAGAGTTCAACTTTAAGAGCATAAGCGCGGCTAAAGTTTACAACTTTGTCAACGGAAGCATTACGATGCTTCCTATTGTAGGTGCCGTCATAGCCGACTCCTTCACCGGCTGCTTCTCAGTCATTTGCTTTTCATCTCTCGTCTCACTCCTCGTACGTATTTTCATCTTCTTGCACCAAATCCATAGCTTCTACGTATTCTTACTACTTGTATTTAATTTCGTATGTACATTAGTTGTAGTCCTAACAGCAGCAGTGAATGCAGGGCATGTTAGTTCTTGTCCTAACAGCAGCAATAGACCAGCTGAGACCCAAAACTTGCAAAAATGGATCAAACCCGTGTGACTACCCGTCTCAACTCCAGTTGGCAGTCCTATATCTTGGGCTTGCTCTAGCTTCTCTTGGGAATGCGGGCACGCGCTTCACAATTGCCCCAATGGGGGCCCACCAATTCAAGAGCCCCGGCCAGCAGGGGATTTTCTTTAACTGGTACATTTTCACCATGTACACGGCCACAGTCATAAGCTCCACGGCCATTGTGTATGTTGAGGACAACGTGAGCTGGGTGTGGGGGTTTGGCCTATGTGCTGCGGCTAATCTACTCGGTTTGGTTGTTTTCTTGATCGGCAAGAGATTCTACCGCCCGTTTAAGGCTCGCGGGAGCCCTTTCAGGGGTCTGGCTCGTGTGCTGGTTGGTGCTATTAGTAAGAGGCGAATGCCCCTATCAGACAATAGCAAAGATTATTATTGTTGCCATGAGGACCCTAAGACTCCTACAAATTTCTTCAGGTCAGGTTTTCTTATGTACTACCTTTACCTGTATTCATGATCATAATTATATTCTCTCCATCCCTGTTGCTCTATAAACTGCAGATTCTTAAACCGAGCAGCACTCAGAAGCGAAACAAAAGACAGCATGCAGGTACAAGATAAATCATGCACCGTGAAAGAAGTCGAGAATCTCAAAGCGCTTATCAAAATCTTTCCCCTTTGGTCCACGGGCCTATTCCTATGCACCCCACTCGCCATCCAGCTCAGCCTCTCCGTCATCCAGGCCCTCTCCATGGACCGCCGCCTCGGTGGGTCCCACTTCCGGATTCCGGCCGGCTCCATGCCCGTCTTCATCCTCATCTCCACCTCCCTCTCCATCCTCATCATCGACCGGGCCAAAATTACCAAAACTCCCCTCACCCTCCTCCAGCGGATCGGGATAGGCCACGCTCTCACCGTGGTAAGCATGGCCATCTCAGCACTGGTCGAGTCTAAGAGGCTGAAAGCTGGCGGGCCCATCTCGGCCATGTGGCTCGTCCCACAGCTGGCGGTGGCCGGCTTGGGGGAGGCTTTTCATTTCCCGGGACAGGTGTCTCTTTACTATAGGGAGTTTCCGGAGGAGCTTAAGAGCACGTCAACTGCAGCTGTTGCCATGTTTATCGGGATTGCGTTCTACATAAGCAATGCCATTATTGATTTGTTGCGGAAGCTGACCGGGTGGTTGCCAGACGATATAAATGAAGGGAGGTTGGATAATGTGTACTGGGTTTGTTGTGCTGTGGGGGGATTCAATTTCGGGTGCTATATCGCCTGTGCCCTGTTGTATAAGTATCAGAATGTGCAAGAATCTGAGGATGGTTGTGGGGAAAGTTGAATGACTACATTAAAAAAAATAAAAAATAAATGTGTGTGTTCAAGTTATGAATGTACAGTTTGGAACTTCATGTGCTTATTGAACAGGATGCACACATATAACTATAGGCCGAATATCCAGTCTTGAAATACAGAATTATACAAAGTAGAAGAGTTGAAAGATGAGATAGGCAAGGAAAAATTAAACAAAGGAGAAAGGAGAGGAGAATTAGGTGCTGCTTTATATACAAAATTAGTTAATATTACATTCATTGGAGGCCCCACCCTCATCAGAAGGATCTCCATCAGAAAACCCAAGAACATAAGCATCCCCTTCATCTTCATCACTCTCCATACCTTCCCTATTATCCCTTCTTTCGATATAAACTCGTGCTTGCCGCCTGTGAAGCCGCAACACGTGCATTATCACGTCCGGAGTCAGTATTACTCGTGAGTGTTCCTCCCTCCCTTGCCTATTGGATTCCATTACCTGTGCATTAGATTGGAAAATATATCAGAATCGGAAACTGTTATGCTACTGTCCTTACTCACAAAAAGCTCCCCTCGTCTTTGGAAACTACAAATAACACCAAACATATGTCAGTGTTTTACCAACTTAATGTACCAAGGGGGTAATTTGTGCAATAAATCAAACCTCATGGTGTATTTGCCATAGTTCAAGATCTTTCCTAGTAGTTTTATTGGATATGTCAACTCAAGTTTAGCCTAATAATAACAAAAACACACGGTTATCTTTCTGAATTACAAAAAGCATTTTTCACGCACGTTCCAATTTTACAGACCGCGTGTACTAGGAAAATGATTTGCATAACAAAAGTTAACTTTATGGTGCAATTACCATATAATATTTCTCTCTCTCTCTTCTTTTTTCTGAAGATGATTTGCATATACTTCAATAACTTCTCTTTTTTTTTCACTCCTTTTTTTCTACTCTTGGTGTAACTGGACTTAAGCTACAGTACAGCTTAATTATGACAAAAAGACAATTATCTTCCAAAATTACATATAAGTCACTGACATATGCTTCTATATTCCTAACAGCATAACCATAACACACATTAATCAAGCTGAACCTCAGTGATGGCTTCTGTAATAATCATTCCAAAAACTTAACATGAAGAACAGCAAGCACGTACCTCGTGAGCATTTTCAGGAAGAGGCCTGACATCATTAGACGAGGGAGACCATATTTTAATGCTCTTTTCTAGTCCACATGTAGCAAAAACCGGAATCATGGGGTGCGGCTCAAGCTGGTTCACAATATGCCGATCACCAACCATCATGCGAACGAGCTCCCCGCCCTTCTTCTTCCACATAAATATATGCCCACAGTCAGAGCCACTCAGAACATACTCATCATTCGGGCCAAAGAAACTCACCCCCTTCACTGTCTGCGAGTTCCTGTGGCCCGCGTAGACCTGACAATGGCTTGGCCCCTGCAAGTTCTCGGTCAAAGAGGTCAGAACACCCGGGCCCACGCCAGTCCCCCTCTGGAACAAGTAGATGAGCTCATCATTGTATGAGACTAGCAGCTCGCCGGCACCAGAATAGGCGAGAGCCGTGATGTGGGCATCATGGGTGCCGATGAGGTGGTGGGGGCAGAAGACGTCCATGGGGATTCCCACCTTTGCCTGTGATGTGTTTGTTTCATGCTTCCGAATGTCATAAACGCGCACATAGACATCGGCACCACCTGCAGATAGATAGTTGGGGTTTCGGGGGTCAATGACTATGGCGTTGAGCCCGACGGTTGTTGGGGTCCGGATGCTCTCCACACGGGAGGAGCAGCTGAAGAGCTTTGTGGCGGAGTCACTTCGTAAGTCGTACTACACAGAAAAAGAAAAGTAGATACTTGAAAATCAATAACAGAGTTCGAATCAAGAAAAAAAAAAAGTAAATTCTTCAAATTTTAGAAAGTTTTTACATGCTGGACAATGCCGTCCTCCCCGCAACTGTAGAACACATGAGGGCTACCGGGCTCCACAGCAAGTTTGTGAACGCGACCCCGGTGCTTGGATAGTCTCTTTGTTTCGACTGAGCCGCTGTCATGCAAAAGGCTGAACCTAACCTGGAAACATTTTTTTTTTTTTTTCATGTATTAAGGACTGACTTTAATTTTTTTTACTAGGTACAATAGTTGCCAAAGTTCGTAATGAGCAAGGTCAGTTGAAGTGGCTCGGATTATAACATGCCCACTGGGTCACGTGTTATTCTATTCTTCTTTTCAAACTGTAATCCAATTAAACAAGATGGAGCTGGGCATAGTTATCATTAATAGGAATGACTTCAGATTATGGGAGCAAACAAGAACTGGCAATGCGCGTATGCTCTTTACTATTGCCTTTAATTTATTTAGTACATATAATTTCTCTTGATCTCTTGTATTCTATGTCGATAAAAAAGAAGAACAACTTTTAAACCTGTGCTTTCATCAAAACCAAAGAAAAAAAAGGCTTTTCTTGTGAGACACGTGTGCATAGATAATCAGGAAAAAGATATTCAAAAGAAAAATGAAAGTCTTTGTAGAAAACCATAAGCATGAAACGGTTACCACATCAGATTACAGTTTATGGATGTTTCACCTATTTTTTTCAGGAAATTGACACTCTCACTAGTTAACTTACAGCACATGTTTCGTCGCATTAAGCATCACCAACTGCCAATACACAGTAACAATGCATTTTTAATTTCTTTTTTCAGATTGGTACTCCATATAAAATTAATGAAACATTTCCTAACAGTTACAAAACTAGCTGTGAAATTTGACCTAATCACTGTAGCCACCAGCGATATCCTCCAAAATTACGAAAATCTTGCATTAACGAGGTTTTTCAACACTTTAGAGGGCTTTGAAAAATTTAAGATAATGGAAGCTTCTTTCTGTAAGTATCCTTTTTTTCAGCCCCAACAAAGTTACTCGTGAATATTTCAAATCGTAGATGCATATCTGCTAATCAAATAATTACCTGGCAATCAGCAGATGATGTCACTATTTTTCGGTCATCGGTATACGGCATGATACTGGCCTGGAATATGTTGTCCAAGTGTCCAGATGAATAAGAAAATCTTAACTTCCGCGTGGCCCAGTCCCAGAGCATTACTTCTCTGTCATCAGAGCCCGACACAAGAAGCTCACCAGTGGAGTTGAACTCAACCGTGTTTACACAGCCTTGATGGCCGATTAATTTCCCATATAAATCAATCTTTTTTATCAAAGTCTGCATCAATCAAGAACAAGCTTAAGCTTTGGCAGACACAGGTCAAGAGGATAGTGATATCAACAACGTTTAAGTCGCCACACAATGTAGCCGCACTGCATCATGATTGGTATGACTATAACTAGACTAAAACAAACAAGAGTAAAAGATAACGAGTATAAACAAAGGATAAAAACGATAAGATGACAAAATATTGATATTTGAAAAACTAACATGCATAGAACAAGAGACTTCATATTGCTCTATACCTCACAATTACATAACATTTAGGAACAACTCTCATGGACAATGATATTTTTGGTGTCAGATATCAGAAGAATTTTATTTTCATTCAGAGGAAATATCGTTGTAGTAGAAAATGTCAAATTAATACCAGAATCAAATCAAGTGTGTGCTACGGCTTTTTAAAAAAAAAAAACATGATATTTTGAAGATGATCTTAGCAAACAAGAATTTGAATTCAAGGAAATCTCCAATGCTTGCCTTCCTAAAAGCCGAACAAAGTATCATTTGACCAATGAAGTGTCTTTGCTATCCTAGAATCTATAAAGCAACATACTTAGTGAAACTGATGTTTCCGAAAGGACAACTAAGTCCAACCATACCAATATTCCATGTAAAATAAGCACAGAATACAACTAACAAATCACTTCAACCTTAAGTACAGGCTGTTGAAAGACCAAGTTATTTACAAGTCCAGGAACTCATCTCCAAGGGCATACTCCAATACAAGACGAGGGTAACTAAAGCGAAAATTTCACAAGAAATAGAAATGACCACACGAAAACGAATTTCGTCAGAAGTTACCACATGAAAACTAATTTCATAAAGAAACTGTGATTTGCACACAATCTGCCCATGACATTCTTCGGAGGAGTAGATAAAGAAAATAATTCATACTTCGAACAAAGAAGGAAAGAAAGAAAGAAGGAAAAAAAACACCACTACTACCATCCTCCCCCCACAACACTGCGGCCAATCAGTGACTTTTAGAACACAGAAACTAAAAAGTACACAAATATCTTGTCATCTTGTAAGAATTGTATGGTGATGCAAATGAACTCTGAAGACAACTACATCAATGATGATCCAACTACAAAGCTTCTGCATCCACTTACAAATGAAATACAACTATTGTATACACAATAATAAACCACGAGCCTGGCAGCTCACACACGCCTCGTCACTCCTGTCAGTAGTGTTAGAGTATATAAACTTATTCCCAAACCCCTTTCTTCTTTTCTATTTTCCTTTCTCTTCCATGAAAATCCAAATGCTAGCAACTTAGGACTTGGATTGACGAGAATGGCCAACAAATTGCTGGCAAGGCTTAAGAGCACCAAGAAACCCAAGCCCAACAAACAATATAAACATAACCCACAGCTTAAAGAGAGAGGGAGAAGGAAGGGATATTTACCACTCAACTGATCAAGCTTCATTTATATTTGCAACCAAACTAAGACAAAATGAACTTGCACCTCAAAGATGAGGGGTGGGGAAGAAGAGGAGTATAGCAACTATGAAAGAAATTCGTCACATACTTCATCATCCAATACAAATAGACTGCATCATAAACCTACCTCAGAAGCAGACACGCGGCGAGAGTAAATCCTGGGAGAGCAAAAACCCATCTCTCTCCTGAAAAAATCGAGCAGCCTATTTTCGGAATTCTTGAGAATATCCCCCATCTCACACCTAACTTTCAGTTTTAAACAAAAAATGAGGATGGCAGGTTTTTTTGCAGTAAAGGGAGGTGAATTTGATCGGTGAATTTGAGGAAACCGGTGCCAATGCCACCATGTAATATGAACCTTGAACCCTTGATTAATCTCACACGCAGTTCAGAAACACTGTGGCGATGGTCGAGGGATCATGGGTTTGTTCTCATTTGAATGGGCTGAACAGGGGAGGGGAGACGGCATCTAGCGAGGTCGTCTGTGAGTGTCAGCTTATCTTTCTCATTTCGGTCTTGCTGCAGAACATAGGGATCGAAGTTTCGCGTTGGAGTAATGAAAAACGATTAGCGCCTATTTAAGTATACCGTTGTTTACGGAACCATTCCGTCGAAAGTTATAATCGTTGGTGCAAGAACATTAGTTTGACATCATCCGACAAACCTAAGTGTTTTATAAAAGATTTCTTGATAAGCAACCAAAATAAATTAAAGGAAGTTTTTTTATTTATTTATTTGTGATTTAATTAAATTCCTAATATTTATTATTAATGATATATGGTATATATTCATTGTAATATTTATTATGGAATACTAATCCTTTAGGAGAAGGATTATATATATTTTATATATTTACTTACCATATATGTCACATGTCATAATTAGCTCTTTTTTTTCTTGTAGGACAAGGAATAGGTGGCAAAGACTATGAAAGGATGAGTTATCCATACAAGAAAAGTTCTGGACGGTCATGAGAAGATCTAAGGAGGATTTGGAAAGATTTACCACAAGATCTTTGAAGATTTGGAAGATCGGCTATTTTTGGAAAGTCATGTTCTTACCCGATTCTAGAAACACAAGATTCCATTTGAAGCTCAATTCAGAAGATCTCCAAATCACATGCACGATTTCTACATCAAGGAAACTTACCTTACATAAAGGATTTCGTCCAAATCAGAAAACAATCAGTTGAGAAGGAAATTGACTCCTAAAAGGAAAGGAAGAACTTGAAGAAGACTCCACCCTAAGGAGTTGTATATATACCCTGCTTGAAAATCGAAAATAGGCTGCTGAAATAATTGTCTTTCATTCAATATTCGAACTTCAAGCCTTTTTAGTTTTATTTTCGTTACTCAGTTTTTCGGTGTTCTTATGCTATCGAAGAACTGAAGACTTTTATTTTGTTTCTTTTGTTTTTCATTCAAACACTTTTGTGATCGGTACTTAGGGATTAAGTACAGTTGTTAGCTCGAGAGATTCGAGAGGTAGAAGTCCACGGGACGTGGCCGAAGAAGTAATTGATAGGATCGTGTGTAGTTGTGGCTAGACTAGAAGGGAGTTCGAGTCGTGTAAGTCCAAACTATACAAGTGTGAACGGTTTATCAATGAAAGAGCTCTAAGGGGAAGTTGGACGCTTCTCTAAAGAGTTTTTACATCTTTGGTTTATTTCTTCCGCTATTTACGTTGTTTATCCACGTTCTTACATCGTTTTGCGCACTCGAGTTAAAAATATACGTTTAAGTTGGCACCAGAGCAGTGTTCCTGTTCTAATCACAGGATAAAGATCTTTGGGTCTTTGGGTTGGGCACCATGAACCACGACATGTCTGTTTCACGCCCTCCGTACCTCGATGGTTCGAACTATGGGTACTGGAAATCCATTATGGTAATTTTTCTTCGGTCTCTTGGAAAAAGAACTTGGCAAGTCATCGAATCAGGTTGGTCAACACCTTTGATGGAGAAATCACCCTCGGAAAAGAAGGAAGGATCATCGTCCTCTGATGTTGGTCCTCGTGTTCTTGTTGAAAAACCGAGAGATTTGTGGACTGATGCGGAAAGACTAGCAGAAGAAGCTAATTTTTGGGCTCTATATGCTATCATGTTTGCTGTAGATCCCACTCGTCACAAAATAATCATCCAGTGCAAAACCACTCAAGAAGCTTGGAGGATCCTGGAAAGACAATTTGAAGTTACAAACGCTGTGAAAACCTCAAAGCTCCAAAGAGTTTCTACCGAACTTGATGAGGTCCGCATGAGGGATGATGAGACCATTGGTATGTACTATGCTCGCTTCTGTGATCTCGTAAACCAATGCGCAATGCTTGATGAACCTGTATCGGAGGCAAGACAAGTACAAAAGTTGATGAGAACCCTACCAGATAGATTTAGAATTAAGATCACAACTTTGGAGAGTTTTTAGAGAATTCAAAAGCTAGGCATTGATGACCTTCTCGGTGAATTGCGTACCTTTGAAATAAATCATGGATTTGACTCGATGAAGATAGGGAAAGGAAAAGGCTTAGCTCTAAATGCCAAGGTTCGTACACCTGTGTTGGAAGAGGAAGATTCAGATGAAGAATCTTTCGATGCTGAAGAGATTATGAAAGCCCTTGCCTTTCTTACTAAAAATGCCTCAAAGCTGAAGAAATTACAGAAGATAAGGTTTCAAGGAAATAAGCCCTCTGAAGATGGTAAGAACACTTCTCAGCAACTTGGTGAGCGAGGTTCCAGCGTACAACAGAACAAGCTTCAGACCATCGACCAAGGAGTTGAAAGGGATCAGTGTCGGGAATGAAAAGGGTTCGGTCACTTTCAGAAGGAATGTCCAAACTTCAAGAGAAAGAACAAGGTCTATAAGACAACGTGGTCCGACTGCAGTGATGAGGAGAATGAAGAATCTGAGAGGACTGAAAATTCTCATTATTGCAATAACTTTGTTAAATGTCTTCTTAGTGAATATAACTGCTTTACATCCTCTGTGCATCTTACTGAGGTTGAATCTGATGCGGTTCTTACGCAAAGAACCTAAGTGATGCTGAACCTGAGGAGTTCTCTGATCCTGCTGAGGAGAACCTAGCACTCCACAAATATGCCATAGAGAAGTGTCTCAAAGCTGCCGAAATCATTAAGAAGTATCAAACCCAGAAAGAGAAGATGAAGCAGTTGGAACATCGGTCAACAGAACGTGAAAAGGAGATAGTTTATCTCAAAGCTGAACTCCAGAAGATGCGAGTTATGACCGTTGATTTAAATGAAAAGCTCATCAAATCTGATCTTCTCACTGGAAAGCAGGACAAGGATCTCAATAGTTGCCTTGCCAAACTTGCGTTGCTGGAACACGGCGACAAACTTAACAAACAGGCAAGTGATGAGCAAAATATTAACATTGAATCCTTGTGTAATGAGTTGTTTGTTGTGCAGAGTGTTGTAGGTGAAAGAGAAACTGAGATTGTTGTTCTCAAAGAGGAACTAGGACGAGTAATGGAAGAGCACTTGTCACTTCGAAGTCACTGTTCAACCTTGGAAGAGAAACTCAGCAAAAGTGAGGAGATTGCCAAAATGATCAACAAGCCAAAGTCTTCATTCGCTGAAGTTCAAAGATTAAGTCAACAGATTGACTTTTCAGACCAGAGTAAGAAACTCTCCAATCAGAAACTGAAAGGTAAAGTGGGTGGACCAAGCACGTCTCTGAGTTAGTCTGATTTAACCTTTGTCAAAGAAGGTTCCAACACTGATGGTAAGGTTGATCAGGTTTCTGTGAAAGAACATCGTAAAAATTTTGTAAAAAAAATTCATTCCTACTTGTCATTATTGTGGTGTTCCTGGTCATATTCGTCCTAGATGCTATAGGATGCTTAATGATTTGCATGCAGGAAGAATAAATGACTGGAGCCCAGCCGGTGTTGCAATGAAAATACCAAAACTGAAGGTTGACGTAAAGAATCATAAGCAACAGAAAATTTGGGTTCCCAAAAAGAATCATACTTGTTTTTCATTTCTGTTTGCTTCTGAATCTGCTTCTAATTGTGATTGGTATTTTGATAGTGGATGTTCTAGGCACATGACGGGTGTTAAATCAAATTTGATTGATGTTGTATCTGTGTCTAATGGTTCTAGTTTTGTCACTTTTGGTAATGGTGTTAGTAATTAGGTAGTAGGAATTAGATGTTTGAACATTAATCTGGTCTTCCTGAACTCGATAATATGGAATCCTAATCCTTTAGGAGAAGGATTACATAATATATATCTTATATATTTACTTACCATATATGCCACATGCCATAATTAGTTCTCTTTTTCTTATAGGACAAGGAATAGGTGTCAAGGACTATGAAAGGATGAGCTATCCAAACAAGAAGAGTTCTGGACGTTAATGAGAAGATCTAAGGAGGATTCGAAAAGATTCACCACAAGATCTTTGAAGATTTGTAAGATCGACTATTTTTGGAAAGTCATGTTCTTTACCGATTCTGGAAACGCAAGATTACATTTGAAGCTCAATTTTGAAGATCTCCAAATCACATGCACAATTTCTACATCAAGGAAACTTACCTTACATGAAGGATTTTGTTCAAATCAGAAGCAATCAGTTGAGAAGGAAATTGACTCCTAAACGGAAAGGAAGAACTTGGAGAAGACTCCACCCTAAGGAGTTGTATATATACCCTGCTTGAAGATCAAAGATAGACTGCTGAAATATTTATCTTCCATTCAATATTCGAGCTTCAAGCCTTTTTAGTTTTATTTTCATTACTCAATTTTTCGGTGTTCTTACGCCATCGAAGAACTGAAGACTTTTATTTCGGTGTTCTTAAGTACAGTTGTTAGCTCGAGGGATTCGATAGGTAGAAGTGCACGGGACGTGGCCGGAGAAGTAATTGATAGGATCGTGTGTAGTTGTGGCTAGACTAGAAGGGAGTTCGAGTCGTGTAAGTCCAAACTATACAAGTGTGAACAGTTTATCAATGAAAGTGCTCTAAGGGGAAGTGGGACGCTTTTATGAAGAGTTTTTACATCTTCGATTTATTACTTCCTCTATTTACGTTGTTTATCCACGTTCTTACATCGTTTTGCGCACTCGAGTTAAAAATATACGTTTCAGTTAGATACACACGTAGTTAGTATAAGATAGATGATCTAACGATTAAAACACCCGACGAGATGGGCCATAGCATTTCTCTTTATTTTATTGGAATGTAAAATTTTTTTAATATTAAAATTAATGGACTTATTATAT